GGGTGTCTGTTAGCCTTTGTGGACACTTGGGCAGCTTGCATTATAAATGCTTTGGTGCGGTAGGTGGTTTGCAGGGGCTTCATGCTAGAGTTTCACTTCTAGTCCCCTTATCAGTTTCTCATCTCCAGTCTTCCTGTGCCATCACACAGATTAGCAGATCTCCATGTAGTCCTCTTGGGGCTTCTGGATCTAGGTTCACTGTCCTGTCCTGTTCACAGTTCCAAAATCCAAAGGGGGCATCTTGGATGTCAAACCACTGAATATCTTCAATTGATTCCACATGGAGTCCACTTGGTCTGTAATAACCTCTTTTCACCACAAGACATCCTGGTTTCTGTGGTCTTCAAGGATGTATACCTTCATTTCCCCAGCTTTCCAGTGCACCAGCTTTGCTGAGTGTCCCCTGTACTTTCAGTTTGTGGCCCTGTCATTTGGCCTCTCGGCTGCTTGGGTACTTAGATGACCTCCTGTTGAGGGAACAGTTGGCAAGGGGCTCTGTCGGATAGTGTAACCGTGACTGTCCAGACATTACAAAGTTTGAACCTTCAGAAATCAGCTCTGGAACCTACTCATCATTTGGAGTATCTGTGTCTAGTTCTGGACACAGCTCAGACCAGAGTGTTTCTCCCTTTAAAAGAAACTTCATACTCTCCGATCCCAGGTTTGTATGCTATATTCCAGCCTCCAGATTTAGCAACAAACTCGACAGGTTTGTCTCCAGATACTTAGCTCCACATACAGGCATCCTCTATTGCAGTGGTTCTCAACCTGTGTAACCTCGGGACCCACATTTTTCCTTGGTCATTAAGTCGTTACCCAAAAATTATTTCATTTCTGAAACATTTTCATTTATTACACAAAACAACTTGTGCAGTATTCAGCAACGTATATATGCAAATTTTAAACATCATTGGGGGTATGGAATTGTATTGTGGGGGGTATGTGGGGGTTTGGAGCTTTAGGAGGGGGTAGGGGCAGTATTGCAGGCAGGGGCGTCACAAGGGATGTATGGCCCACACAGATACCATCAGAGGGGGTGACACCGTAATGACTGACAAGAGCCAGATGCAGTCCCTTTATCAGGCATAACAATGTGACACATGGTCACATTTTTGGTGAAATATACAAAATGCAGTTACATCGAGTAAATAGATACCAAACATGTCAAGTGTTAAAATTGCATGCACCTCAGCAATGGCGAAAAACTATGCTTCACAACATTGTCCATAGGTGACGTTTTAAAAGCCTGTACAGGTCATCAGTTTAGCGTTAACCATGAATTATGGCCCGAGAATTATTGCTCTCACTCCAACGTTCGCGGTGATACCTAACATGTTTGGTGCATACACATGAATGCCCCACACACGCATGTTTATTCGCATGCAAATGGTGGGGTTGGTTTTAATTTTTAAATATTTATTTTATTATTTTTATGACTTTAATTTTTTTCCCCTTAACTTTATTACTATTACATAGGGGCGAACAAGCTCCTATGTGATAGCGTATTGAGGTGACAGGTTCTCCTATTGGAAACATCTGGGGTCTAATGACCCCTAATGTCTCCCATGCACTCCAACACAGCTGATCAAGCACAGCATTGTGCTCCATCTCCCGTGCAGCCCAGCTTGTGGCTGCTGGGACCAGAAACACTGTCAGTACAGCAGGGAACCACGAAAATGGGGAGCATTAGCAGGGGCACCGCTGCAGGTTCTCTACTAAGCCCCTGCTAATGCCCCCCAGAGCTTCTTCATTGACAGGAGACATTACGACAGGGGACACTAATGGATAGTATGTGGGCTTGGAATATATAATGACCATCAGTGTTCCCTGTCATAATGTTCCCTGTCAGTGCAGAAGGTTGGGTGCATTAGCATAGGTTCTGCTGCAGGTAAAAAAATTGCAGCGGAGCCCGCCCCCCACCCAGCTTCTGCACTAACAGAGAACAATATGACAGGGGACACTGATGGACATTATGTATTCTGAGCCCAGTCTGTAATAACATCCATTATGTATTTAATGAACATACATTATGCCAGTGGACAGTGATGGATATTATGTGGGCTTGGAATACATAATATCCATCAGTGTCCCATGTCCTGTCACAGTGCACATCTCCCTGCCTGCCTACCTTTCCCTGATTTCAGTCAGACTGAACTATTTGCACTGGAGAGTAAAGCGGCGGATTGATATCTGCTGTACTCTCCAGTGCAGGCCGGGCCGGAACTTTAACTTAATTGTCGGGAGCCGCGGCTCCTGATATTAATGCGCCGGCCGAAAGTGAGAAAATAGTCCCCTCTCTCCCCGGGCCATATCACTTTATCGGAGAGCACGGGGGAGGCCGGGAGAGAGGGGACAGTTTTACATTATGGAGTTCCCACAGGCTGAAATACAAATTCCCCCTCTAGTTCTTGCTAATGCAGATGGGCCGCTCTATGAAGAAATGACACCGCGACCCACTGCAGAAGGTGTCGCGACCCACTTTTGGGTCGCGACCCTCGAGTTGAGAACCGATGCTCTACTGGAAGCACTGGAGGCTCTGTAAGGCCAGTACACCCTGATCAATGCTTTTCCTCCCCTACAACTTCTTCCTCATCTTCTTTGCAGGATTGAGATGGAGCTCCCGGTGTATGTGGTACTCTGATCTGGCAAGACTCCCAATGGATATTCTGTGGGCTCTGACAGATCGCCTGGATATACTGTCTCATAGACCGATTTGCCATCCTGATTCATGATTGCCGGCTTCAACAGCATGGCAGATAAAGCCCAGTTTCTTAGGAACAGGGCATCTCTGATTTGTTGATCCTCATTATGTTAAAAGCAAGGAAGTCTACTTCTCACAGGGACTATCTTTGAACATGGAAGGCATATTTCACTTTTTGTGCGTCTAGGGGCTTTTTTTTTACCCTAGGAGATTCTCCGTGGGACCTTTTCATCTACTTCCTACAGCTGGAACTGGACCCACGTTGGGCTTTTAGCGCTGTCAATGGTCAGTTCTTGCTATCTTGTTTAAGAGGCCATTGGCCTCTTATTCCTTTATTTGGACCTTTGCATAGGGAGTCTTCCATGTAACTCCCCTGTAACTTCATGGAGTCTGAATCTGGTTCTCTCTGCGCTTCAAAAAGATTTGAACCCATTAGAAACATTCCTCTCTTGACGCTCACCCACAAGGTGGTGTTCCTTGTAGCCATCACCTCTGCAAGGCGAGTGTTTGAACTGGTGGTCTTATCCTGTAAGGAACCTTTTTGGTTTTATATAGGCACGAGATTGTGTTTGGGGTCTAAGACTCCCTTTTTCCCTACGCTAGGCTCTGCCTTTAACCTCAACCCGTCTGGCTCCAGTTCACCCAAAGAAAATGTTTACTCCATTCTCTGCTTGTTTTGTAAGCTGTGAGAGTTTATCTTTCAGCCATGCTTCTTTAAAGAAGACTGATCCCTTTTGCTAATCCAAAAGGACTTCGTAAGGGTTCAGGGGCTCTTGTTCTACCATTTTTCTTTTTGTAAATTCTTTATTTAAAGTGAACAGTGATGTAAAACACTGACACAGCAATACAATCAAAGGGTGAGTTAGCTCCATAAATTCTCCAAATGTGATACAGATATTGCATGACCCGCAATCCACAAAAAGAGAAAAAAACAATAACAGAACACACTAAAAACGTGAATACGTGCACATCCCTGCCCACATATATGCAAAACAATGAATTAAAAACTGTAAGAAAAGGAAAAGAATGATACAGGAGGGAGAGGAGGAGGAGAGAGGAAGAAAAAGAGAAAGAAGAAAAAAATCTGCCTGTCTCAAAGAAAAAACACCTCCAAAAACACAGTACATAGTGTAAAACTTATACCAATATCTAGAAAAAGAATTTAAGTGAAGTAAGTAGACTTCATGGTTGACTCCCTAATTCACATCTGTTAAATTATAAATATGGTCATGGATTTGATCCCAAACAGGTCTCAGCCGGAGGCACTTCCAGAACACATGAAGGAGCTTGCCTTCCTGCTCTTCACAACACCAGCACAACTGGGACACCTGCTGGAATAGCACAGAAGGGAACCTGTATCACTGTGTTAAAATCTTGTAACCAGATTCCTGATATCTGCTTGAAATTGAGGCTTGATGAGCAAAGTAAAGGATGTCATCCCTCTATTCTGTGGTAAACTCGAGTTGAAGGTCCCTTTCCCATTTTCTGAAAAACAGGGGAGAAACATTGTCCAGGGGGTTCGACAGGAGGGTATGCACAAGAGACAGTGTATGCCTAAGCAACCCCTTTTGCACACACAGTTTTTCAAAGGTAATTAAGTTCAGAGAAAAGTCATATTTTTTATATAGGGCAGTCAGAAAATGGCAAAGTTGTAACAGTTTCCACCTGGAGAAAGGGGGAGTAGTCAGAGACTGGAGGTCGGTCAGCAAAGACACATCTGGCAAAGTTATATAGTCTTTGAGTCTAGTTTTAGACTTGGTCCTTTGGACCAAAAGATTGTTTATGCATTAAAACCGGTCGAAAATCCAGATTCCCCCAAACAGGGCTCATGCCCGTCATTTTCTCCTCAAGTGCATAGATTATAGAGTGTCACTCGCAGGATGGGACCTATAGTAGGATGATTCCCTAGTGTTCGCAGATGGGACGGCGACAGCCAGGGAAGACTGGACAAGGGGAATTCATTGTTCTCCTGTTCCAAAGAAACCCAAAGTTTAAAATCCGAGTGCCTACACCGGTAGATGTAATTGTGGGTTGGAGACCTTCACTGAGACAGAAATTCTTGCTATTACAACAGGAACCCACAGGTAGTGGTGACCTGGTATTGAAACATTACTGATGAGTTGATTTTTTGATGATTATCTGGTCCTACTTGTTAACTTAGATTCATTTGTTTTTCAGTTTTAGTGCCCCATTTATACTCGTTAATGATAGATGCTCATAAATACCCGATTTGAGTTTGTACATTTTGGCCATCCTCTTGATCATATATGTACTATGGTTTTTTTGTACTCTGCTGTAGGTGCATCGTAGAAACAGAAAACCTAGAAGAGCGAGTGGTAGTTGTAAGTCGAATCATAGAAATTCTCCAGGTTTTTCAAGAGCTAAACAATTTTAATGGCGTACTTGAAGTTGTAAGTGCCATGAACTCTTCACCAATATACAGACTTGATAACACTTTTGAGGTGAGTGTTTCATGTATTGAAGATAAATTTGAACGTAAACCAATTCTACACTGTTTATATGATATCTGGTTATAAGATATATTAAATAAAAAAATGTTGCCAGTTGTATAAAGTTATTTTTTGAATGGAAATTGACCTTAGCATTTAGGAAAGGATAAGTGGCATGAATTAGTATTTAGGAAAGGATAACAAGAATGCGCTCACTTATTATTCTGACTAATGAGTTACTGGCTTTTCCTCTGCTTACATGACAAGTGGCACAGCATTGGTCATATGAGTTGTACCTTGTGTTCCTGATTTTGGCAGTTCTCTCCCATGCCAGATATTTACAGTAAGTGATATTCTCAGGTCTGAGTATACAAAAAAATATTTATTCTTCACTCTGGTAGCTGCTTATTAAAGAAGTTAAGTATCCAGGGCTTTAATAAAGCGTCTGTATTCTTATGTCATCAGTGGGTCTGCATCTGTTTATGGAGCTGGATGCTAGCCTCTTGCTGACATGCTCAGAAGATGGCACCACAAGGGAAAGCCATGTATAAAGGGCAACGTTTGCCAGCTTAATGGATAACAATGCCTTCTTGCCCAACCCACCCACCATAACAATTTTATTAACTTTTGGAAATTAGAGAGCACTAAAGGACCTCAACCTAAATAGTTAACACACCTACAAATGTATAAAGTGCATATATATGTGCAAAAAGCAAAACACTAATAATAATTAATAAATCTCATGCACATAATCATTATCAAATAATCACAGTGATAAGAAAAAGGTTCAAATTCCCCAATATATATGTTACCAATGATAAATATGTGATCAATAATTAATAAGTGATCAATGATAGATAAATATAAATACAGTGATCCTGCATAAGCAAGGAATCATCCACAGTGAGTCAGATGGGTCTCAAAATATCCAATAAAATACACTTTTTTATATTGTGCTGGTGAAATTAATCATAGTTCATCCATTTGAAATCCACCCATAAGTGAAGAAAACATCCGTGGTTTTTAAACCAATCGGTGATCCCGTAAGTGAATCCAATATTCGTTTAGTGACAAAAGACGTGGGCCCCTTCAGGGTATGCATTCACCGACTCCCAATGGCTGAAAACAAACAGCCCAATGCGCTTAGTTGAGGATCAATCTGCAGACTCGATCCCCATGGGTTCACAAGCCCAATACGTTGTTGTGCATAGTTGTAGTGTGATCTATGTGTCCGCATTTCATGGGTCAGGCACAACTGATCAACCATTGAGTGTCAGGCTCACCCATTGATCACTTATTAATTATTGATCACATATTTATAATTGGTCACATATATATTGGAGAATTTGGCCCTTTTTCTTATCACTGTGATCATTTTATAATGATTATGTGCATGAGATTTATTAATTATTATTAGTGTTTTGCTTTTTGCATATATATATGCACTTTAGGCACTTCATACATTTTTAGTTGTGTTAACTATTTAGGTTGAGTTCCTTTTAGCGCTCTCTAATTCACAAAATTCAGTGCTAAAACCTTTGGTTTGTATTGTTGGAGCGGCTTAGTGGCCCCTAGTGACAATATCCAGTAGCGCAAATTATACTTTATATAACAATTTTATTAACCCCAGACATAAAATATAGAATTTACCTCAGTTTAATGTGCCCTGCATGCCTATGGCAGGGGAGCATTGTGAGCATCTGTATTGTCAATGCCCCTGTGCATTATATTGCATGTGTGACTGATAGCCACATTCTACCCATCCTCATGCGGGGGGTTGCAAGGAAAACAATGCCTCATATTAGTCTCCAATGCACAGTAGTGCACAGGGACACAGCACGGAGGCTCACAATGCTGCAGGCTTGATGGAGAGACTAAAGTCTGAATTTAAGGTGTGGAGTTTTAGTTAGAGAATTGTAAAATAGGATGAGGGGTTTAAAAGCTGTCTTTTAAGGTAATTGTAATAACAGGTTGTTTCCACCTAAATCTTGTCATTTAGAGGTGGTTTTGGGTAAAGATTTAAGAGTTCCCCTATATCTTCTCCCATTATTGTGTTACATTTTATTTTTATACATGCCATTTCAGTAACTAACCACAGAAAAAGTGAGGCACAATGTTTTCTCTATAGTTTAATTTTTATACATATTTGTTTTCCTTCCTTTATAGCAAATACCAAGTAGGCAGAGGAGAATTCTAGAAGAAGCTCATGAATTGAGTGAAGATCACCAAAAGAAGTATTTAGCTAAACTCAGGTCAATTAATCCACCATGTGTGCCTTTTTGCGGTAAGTTTTGTTTTATGACTGATTATTGCACTACAGACATTTAAAATGCCAAACTTTCTGCCTCAAAGCAATATCTGCAAATATGTGCTGCTTTGGAGCCCCCTGAAACTGTGTACAGATCTGGGCTCGATTTCCAAGCAGATATAAAACACACAAATTAAAGCAGCACTGTATTCAATAATACATCATTAAAATGTATTTTTCCTCATCATGCACTGAGGGGTGCAGGAATTCTGAAACTGTTGTGTTATTTTCTATTCCACCTACCGGAGGTTTGGCAAACCAAAAGAAAAAAAAAAGCCAGCCCCCATATAACCTCTCCTTTAGCTGCCAGTGTCCCAGGAGGTTGGATACATTTTATCAGCTTACTGAGAAAAAGTTATTTTTTAATCTTTTTTTTTCCAATTTATTATTTCTTTAATCAAGATACTGTGTACACTGTAGATATTTTTTCTCTTCGGGGACTTCAATAAAAACTTAAAAAACGCTGCTTGAGCTAGTCTCTACGCAGAAACTATGCATATCTGCAGGCCCTCAGCAGTAGCTTTGAAGGCCATACCCAGACTCCACTGGACTGGAAGATTGTAGTGCTGGCCTGGAAATTGACATTGGGCACTGGGCTCCACATTGGGCACTCATCAGACCTTTGGGTACTGTGTCAGTTAGCCGCAGAGCCTCACCCTCTAGAGTTAGATCCACCTGTGCCCGCCCCCTCCCCTGTCTGTCCCTCCAGTCAGCACCGGAGGAACCAAGAGGGGGAGGGAGTGAATAACTGACAGTCTCCACTCTCTGCAGGGAGAAGATCGTAAAACTGAGTGGTATGTGATCACTTCTCAATCACTGGAGCCGACATGTGACAGCTGCAGTGTCACACGTTTGCTCTAACTATGGGGATGAGTGCATTCTGATTCTGGGAATCCCCCAGAGGACCTGTTGTCAGACACAGAATCCCTCACTCCCGTAGCGGAGGATACTCCGGCTGTATTCAAGTCAGCAGTTGTTGACCATTCTTATAGCACATGCTCCATCCTCTAGGACCATGTTGACACAAGATGTTGAAAGCAATTTCTCGATCCATCTATATGCCCTTTAACCCATGCTTGCCTCTGCACTAATTTCCCAAACGTTGTCAGTCTAAGCCAAAATTGTTAAGTAGGCACCTGTCAGCTGCTGGTATTGACACTTAACTTATCGTTTGAGTTGACCAAATGATTGTAGTGCTGAACTTTATGTGAAATGCAGCACTGGATGTTAGACGGGTTAGGTCTAGGGTAACTTTTTCTTCTTTCAGGATCTGTAAGGCACCCTGACTTAAGTGCTGGATGGCTGAGAAGCATTGTAACAAGGCTTTGTTATGACTACCCTTTGTTGGCTCTTCGCTGAACAAAATAATTAAAATGTGATGGGGGGGGGAGTACTCACCCCAGACATGCAAAGCTAAGGAAAGGATCAACGATGCAGGTCAACACCTTCCTCTCCTGCATATTCCTTTAATTTAGCTAAATCTGGTTCCATTTTCCATGGGTGCGGGAGATAGTGTGTCTTTTTCAGTGGGTGTGTTCTTTCTTACCTTCAGTTGAAAGTAGAACAACACTTGGCTCTTCTCATCTTTAAAGGTCAAGTATCTGCACTGTTTGCTCTTTTTCATTGTCTTCCTGCTAATCATATGCTGATTCATACACATGTTGCTCCCTGTGTAGGTCTCCACTCCATGGGATTTAAATTTAGTATTGTCAATGTTACAAGACCTCCCTTTGAACCTTTTTGCGCTAAATCTTTGGCGTTGCTATCCCATAAAGCAGGGGACTCAAAGTACCGGCCCGCGGGCCAATTGCGGCCCTCGAGCCGGTACTATGTGGCCCGCAGCCAGCTGACAAGTCAGGTATGCGGTCACGGTCTGCATCTCCATCAGATGCAGACCGCATAGCTGCAGCTGGCAGTGCTCTCTGTTCCTTTCGGCCGTAGCTCGGAGCTCTGGCCGAAAGGAACAGAGAAATGATGGATTGGTAAGGTCTGGATTGGTAAGGTCAAGAACCTCCTTTAGAAATAATAATGATTTATGATATTATTGTTATAGAGTTTAGGTATGATATTGCTAAAGATTTTATAAAAGAAGTATGTTTTGCAAATCCATCAAAGTAGCATCTAAAAAGTCCCAATATTTTTTGCACTTAAGAGGTCAAATCTGATAATGAAATCTGCCAGCACAGTACAGACGGGGTTAATTAAAGTAACCATAACTTCCCACAGCCCCCTACTCAACATAGCATAGGGGGAAGCTAGATAGGATTTTAAGCAAGTGTAAAGCACTTAAAAATGTCAGCAGAAATTCTTAAATATTTTTGTTATGCTATGTGAATGAGAACATGTAACAAATATAAAGTTATTCCAATTTGGCTGCAAAAGTGGAAATACACTGTAAGGTGCTTGCAACTGCAGTGCTTTGAAATGTTTGTTTAGAGGTCTCAACAAATCTTTGTGGATAAATGTGTATGAGTATAACCATGAATTTTCTGTACTTTCTAGGAATTTATTTGACCAACATTTTAAAAACAGAAGAAGGCAATCCTGATTTTCTAAAAAGACATGGGAAGGAATTGGTGAACTTTAGCAAAAGAAGAAAAGTGGCTGAGATCACCGGTGAGATCCAGCAGTACCAGAACCAGCCCTACTGTCTACAAGTAGAGGCTGACATCCGTGTAAGTAGAATTCTTGTTGTGATAGGCTGGGATAATAAAACACAGAGACAATTTAATTTGGCCCATAAAAATAGAAAAGGTGTTTCTTTTTTATTTTAGCCTCTTGGTGAAAATATGTAAAGTGGCCTTTAAATATGCATGCTGGACAAACATTTAACCTTGCTTCTGCAAACAGCTTGGCTGGTGAGAGGCTCTCATTTATTTGGGGCTAGCTTTTGAGGCTATGTGAGAGGCTAGCATTTATTTTGTGTTTCTGGCTGCCTATGATTGTTTTCTCACAGTATTTCTCTTGCCTCTAAGAGGTTGACACTAAAGGAGAAGGCGTAACTCCCTGTAAAATATTCCCTCCTTCATGCAGCAGTTTAGTTTAGTATCTGAAGAAGGCAGTACATCTCTCTCCCCAACTTGCTTCTGTTTTGATGAAGATTTTCACTTCTGTGGACTTCTTTGCACTTTTCTGCCACTCACACCAGACTCCTTGCCACAGCCCCCTTGCAAGCTCAGTATCCCACTAGGTTCCTAAACCTTACAAATTTAATCACCTTCTGAGTAACTGGCTTTTTGAGGCTTACAAGGTTCCCTATGAACCATCTGTGTTGAATTCCATTTCAGAACTTTCTGGAACTCTCAGGTGTGGCTATTGCGAACACGTCTAGGTCACAGCAACTACTGAAGGGTTTTCTGTCTTGGCTGTTAAGGGTACTAGAACAGTCCCCAGATGACCATCAAGCCAACAGGGGCTCCCGTGTAAAACCCCTCCTACTCTCCTGACTTCTCTGTGCCTTCTGTCTCAAAGTGCAATGTCTCTCCAGGGTCACTTGCTGTCCACGGGTCACTTGCTGTCTTCCCTTAGTAAAGAAGCCAGAAAGCTTTTAACCCTTTCCCTGCCACCGCTGTAAGGCATATGGCGGAACAAAACTGTTCCCAGCTGGCCAGGTCAGTATGCCGTACGGAGGTGCCATTTACAGTTCTGCTATAAGCTCATGGTCGCTTCAGGGAAGCGGAGCGGAGAGAGTTGGAGTCAGCTTTTTGGAAACATGATCACTATAAATGTCTGTAAACTACAGACCATCTTCCCCTTAAGTTGTTATGGAGATGAGGGGGGAGCAGTGTTCTATAGTCTTAACACATTTACGTCTCCGAGAATGAAAATGTTGCTCCTCCATAAATACAATATAGTGATTTAGCAAGTCAAATTTGTGGTTTCTCAGGTTGAAAATGTTTGCAACAGACACAAGCTTATCTAGTTGAGGTAGATTTCTAAACACCCTATCTGTGCAGGGTTGGTAATCACCAGGTGTCTGATCTCTCCTTCATTTTGTTAGTTTTGTGGGTTATATGGCTGTTCCTGATTCACTGGACAGCTCTCTGTGAAGGCCATCTGCTGTCCAGTCCAACAATAGAAGTGACATATGTAAACCACCAAGGTGGCTCAGAGAGCCACACCACAGCCAAGGAGTTTGAACACATTTTCAGTAAGACTTGACAGTCCCGCAGTTCACATTCGCCGGCATGGACAACTGGCAAGCAGTCTTTAGTGTCTTGATCCAGGAGAATGGTTTCTGTGCCAAGAGGACTTTCATTGGATCTGTCAGTGGTGAGAAAATTGTCAGTGGTGAGAAAACTGGATAGGTTTGTCACAAGAGCCATGGATCCCTTGGCAGATGCCCTAGTAGAGGAGTAGGCAACCTCTTCACTCCAGCTGCTGTGAAAGCTATTCAATTCCCATGACACAAGACTCTGTCAGCCACAGGCATGATGGGATTTGTAGTTTCTGCACAGCTGGCGTGTTGAGGTTGTTTAACCTTGCTCTATTGGCATCACTGAACTTTTTACCCTTTTGAAGCTTCTTCTCCAGCTTCTGCAGTGCATAAAGCTGTAAGGTATCCCAGTCATTCTCATCACTCATCAACTTGCCCAGTAGAGCTTGGTAGTCGGACCTGGTTTGTCTGCACGCAGATGCACTTTAGTAACTGTAGGAGAAGCTGGATCATGATCCCAAGATCCAGTCCTGCAACCTGCTTTAACGGCATCGCTGTTGAATCTAGGGCTGCAACCAACGAATTGATTAATAGATTATGAGAATAGTTGTCAACTATTCTCATTATTGATTAGTTGGATGGATTCCCTAGCTCTCTCCTCCACGCTGGGAGGAGGGCACAGCAAGCAGTAAGCGGGTGCAATAGCCAGCCTGCTATTGCAATTTGAAATGGCCAATAGCAGGCTGTCTATTGCACCAGCCCACTACCTGATGTATTTACATTCAGCCGTCGCCTGCGGAATCTTGTCACTGGCAGCTGTCATTCCCTGGTTGAAGCTATTCAAGCGCCATGTGCTTACAATACAATTATTAAAAACATAATTATAAAAGGTGGGAAAAAAATAATTTTGGTTTCGTCCTGACAAATTCTGCTGCGGGAGGTGCGTTGCAATTCCATTCATTTCAATGGCACCCCAAATGTGCCCCCCACCCACAGTGTGATTGACCGCACTGAAACGCACAGTACTGCAATGCTGAGTGTTCCAGTGCAGTGCGATTGCAAAAATTGTGCATGCAGTTTTTTCTGAAGTAAACTTTGTATTGTAATCTCAATACAAATAAGTAAACTAAACTAAACCTGAGATTGTACCCAAAAATATTTAATGAGTAGCCCCAGGAGTACCCATGGCAACAGTTGAGATTCACTGGCTTAGATATCAGGTGGGCGTCTGACTCTAGCAGTCAAGACAGTAAGATCATTCTGTCAATTGTACCATGAGAGTTCTGCCAGTTGCCAGGGAAATTGTTTTTTTTTTTTGGGGGGGGGGGGGGTGTATTTTAAAGAAAACTTTATAAATGTCAATGTCAATTTTCCTTAAAGACTTTTTGGGGTGCAGGAAGTACAGACTATTTCCTTTTAAAGACATGGTGCTTGGATTTGAGAAAAGAAATGGTGCTTGGATTTCATATTCTGTGCCAGACTAATGCAATTTCTTTAAAATAATTTTCAGAGGTTTTTTGAGAACCTAAATCCAATGGGGAGTGTTGCAGAGAAGGAATTTGAAGACTACTTGTTCAAGAAGTCGCTGGATATTGAGCCACGAAATGCAAAGACTTTGCCAAGATTTGTAAGCAGCTATTAGTTGTTCATGTCTAATGTCAAATGTTAATGGGAAGTGTTTTTAGACTACAATCATGTGAAAAAGTAAGTACCCTGTAATTGGAAATTGTTGACCTTTTCAGCATATTAAAACAGGCAAACATTAGATCTTAATTCAAACAATGCCTACAGATAAAAGTGACATACTTGAATCCAGAAGGAAAATTTACCTTTAAAATCATGTATTTACCAAAATATCAATAGCTGTAATGTGGAAAAGGTAAGTACACCCCTGACCCGCTTTAGCACAAATTGGTTCCTGTTAGCGTTTTGCATAGCTGCCCACCAGTCTTTGACATGAACATTTTTGACCATTCCTCCATGCAAAATTGTTTCACTTACAAGATGTCTGTGACTATCAAGAGCTGCCCTTTTAAATCCCTGCACAACATTTAAATTTTTCGGATTGCTTTGGATAATTAAAAAATCTATTTCCAGTTTGACTTTAACTTTTGGACAGGTGGCCTCACATTCTAATTAAGCACACTTTAAATATGAAGCAGAATTCAGAGTTGACTCGATTACTTAATTTATCAGGATCCAGGAGCAGCAAAGTAACCCCCAACAATAACATTTACACCACATGCTTTACAGTTGGTGTGAAGTTAGTCTCCTACTCTTACTGTGGCCAAACAACTTTATCATTGAATTATTAGTCTGCAGTACATTGGTCCAGAACACTTGGAGGGTTATTCACAAAGCTGCTGAAGGCAGCTGAGTGAATAACCGAGCCGAAGTGAACTGAGCCAAAAGGCGTTCGGCTATTCACTTCGGCTCTGTACGGCTGATTTCAGCCGTACATCGGCTAAAATGAGCCGTACATTAGTTGCCAGCGCCTGGCTTTGGTCAACTGAACATGCTCGGCGTTAACAAATTATTTAAATAACTGTAACAAAAAATAAAAATGTTGTAAAAATATATTTTTTTAAATGTAAAAAAAAAATACAACGTGGGGTCCCTCTCCCAAACCACACCAGACCCTTTAGGTCTGGTAGAAAAGTTAGGAGGGACCCCTATTTAAAAAAGAAAAAAGCATAGGGTTCCCCCCAAAAGTCATACCAGTCCCTTTTAGATCTGGTAGGAATTTTAAGAAATAACCCCACCCCCAAAAATGGGGACAAAAAGACGTGGGGTCCCCTCTAAAATTCCCAACCAGACCCTTGATCCGAGCTCAGGCTTGGCAGAGCAGGAAAGGGGGGAGGGGCAAGCAAGCGGCCCCCTCCCTGCCATACCAGGTCACATGCCCTTGGCACTGGGAGGGTGCTTTTCCAGGGTCCCTTTCCTACAAGCCCTGGGGTGTTGGTTGTGGGGGTGCGTGCAGCAGGTCTTATTCACATCAGGGTACCCCTTCAATAATGGGGCACCCAGCTGCAGCCTCCCCCCTCGTGAATGAGTAAAGGTTATTTGTACCCCCTACCCATTCACTAAAGCAGGGCTCAAAATGTAAAGTCATGAGCTACTAGCCAGGCCTTAAAAGTTACTCGCCACCAGTTAGCCACCTAACCCCTACCCTGCCCCGGCCTGAACTCCGCCAAGTCATCGGTGAGATGCAGAGTACAAAGATCAGTAACAACGCACAGTACAGAAGTCAGTGGTGCAATGCAGGCCTGGCCAGGTGTGTGACGCACAGTACAGAAATACGTTTTTAAAAAAACGCAGAGTGCAGAGGCCCTTGGTGTGACGCACAGTACAGAGATCAGCAGTACAGAGTTCATCAATGTGACGCAGTGCGGAGGTCATCAATGTGACGCAGTGCGGAGGTCATCAATGTGACGCAGTGCGGAGATCATCAATGTGACGCAGTGCGGAGGTCATCAATGTGACGCAGTGCGGAGGTCAGCAAGGTGAGGCGGAGGTCAGTAAGGTGACGCAGAGTGCGGAGGTCAGTAAGGTGACGCAGAGTGCGGAACTCAGTAAGGTGACGCAGTGCGGAGGTCAGCGGTGTAAGATAGAAAAGGGACTTACAGTAGTGATGTGCTCTGTCCTCATGCCCTCTTCTTCCTCTCCGTGTGGTGGTGGGGGGAGGCATAGATGTCTCCTCCATGTGAAGCCCCCAGCAGCCTTGTTGTGCCTCCTCTGCAGGTCCCTTCCCGCTCTGCTGAATGTACCCAGGCAGCCAATGACAGTGCTGCACTATCCCTCCCAGCCAATTGCAGCAGAGGTGGGTGGAGGTACAGGCTGCCGAGTTTACTGCTGTTCAGTGTAAAAAACCGGCATAGTACTTGTAGTGTGCCAGTTTTTTGCACTGAATCGCAGTTAACTCAGTGACAGCTGTATGTGCCGGCCGCTGTGCGGGGATGTCCTCCTGCATCTGCCACTGAGTCTGGACACTACCGCTGTGGCGATCGCTCGCTTCTGTTCTCTCTCCTCCTCGGCCGCTCTGTAGTTGCAGCGGCCAAGCAGGAGAAGAGGGAACAGAAGTGCGCAATTGCCGCGGCAGTAGTGTCCCATCCCTGGTCCTGCCGGCAGCGAACCCCCTCGATGACATTCTAAAATGGACTCGGATCAACCGTCTTGTTGTAAAAATATATTTTTTTAAATGTAAAAAAAAAATACAACGTGGGGTCCCTCTCCCAAACCACACCAGACCCTTTAGGTCTGGTAGAAAAGTTAGGAGGGACCCCTATTTAAAAAAGAAAAAAGCATAGGGTTCCCCCCAAAAGTCATACCAGTCCCTTTTAGATCTGGTAGGAATTTTAAGAAATAACCCCACCCCCAAAAATGGGGACAAAAAGACGTGGGGTCCCCTCTAAAATTCCCAACCAGACCCTTGATCCGAGCTCAGGCTTGGCAGAGCAGGAAAGGGGGGAGGGGCAAGCAAGCGGCCCCCTCCCTGCCATACCAGGTCACATGCCCTTGGCACTGGGAGGGTGCTTTTCCAGGGTCCCTTTCCTACAAGCCCTGGGGTGTTGGTTGTGGGGGTGCGTGCAGCAGGTCTTATTCACATCAGGGTACCCCTTCAATAATGGGGCACCCAGCTGCAGCCTCCCCCCTCGTGAATGAGTAAAGGTTATTTGTACCCCCTACCCATTCACTAAAGCAGGGCTCAAAATGTAAAGTCATGAGCTACTAGCCAGGCCTTAAAAGTTACTCGCCACCAGTTAGCCACCTAACCCCTACCCTGCCCCGGCCTGAACTCCGCCAAGTCATCGGTGAGATGCAGAGTACAAAGATCAGTAACAACGCACAGTACAGAAGTCAGTGGTGCAATGCAGGCCTGGCCAGGTGTGTGACGCACAGTACAGAAATACGTTTTTAAAAAAACGCAGAGTGCAGAGGCCCTTGGTGTGACGCACAGTACAGAGATCAGCAGTACAGAGTTCATCAATGTGACGCAGTGCGGAGGTCATCAATGTGACGCAGTGCGGAGGTCAGCAAGGTGAGGCGGAGGTCAGTAAGGTGACGCAGAGTGCGGAGGTCAGTAAGGTGACGCAGAGTGCGGAACTCAGTAAGGTGACGCAGTGCGGAGGTCAGCGGTGTAAGATAGAAAAGGGACTTACAGTAGTGATGTGCTCTGTCCTCATGCCCTCTTCTTCCTCTCCGTGTGGTGGTGGGGGGAGGCATAGATGTCTCCTCCATGTGAAGCCCCCAGCAGCCTTGTTGTGCCTCCTCTGCAGGTCCCTTCCCGCTCTGCTGAATGTACCCAGGCAGCCAATGACAGTGCTGCACTATCCCTCCCAGCCAATTGCAGCAGAGGTGGGTGGAGGTACAGGCTGCCGAGTTTACTGCTGTTCAGTGTAAAAAACCGGCATAGTACTTGTAGTGTGCCAGTTTTTTGCACTGAATCGCAGTTAACTCAGTGACAGCTGTATGTCCCGGCCGCTGTGCGGGGATGTACTCCTGCATCTGCCACTGAGTCTGGACACTACCGCTGTGGCGATCGCTCGCTTCTGTTCTCTCTCCTCCTCGGCCGCTCTGTAGTTGCAGCGGCCAAGCAGGAGAAGAGGGAACAGAAGTGCGCAATTGCCGCGGCAGTAGTGTCCCATCCCTGGTCCTGCCGGCAGCGAACCCCCTCGATGACATTCTAAAATGGACTCGGATCAACCGTCTGATGAGTATCTGCTCCCGTCCTAATTTGTTGTATACGGTGCACCGTAAGAATCACACAGACACAAGGATCAGGTCTATGATGCTCCTGTTTATTACGCTAAGGCACAAAGGTTTTTATAGGTAAGCAGCTAGTGCTGTGTGCAAAGGTCATGTGAGCGTAGCTTCTGATTGGTCATGTCCATATAAGGTAAACTTCCTTCAGGATCCAAACATTGTCATCTTGGGTGTCCCGAAAGGAGGCGCCATCTTAGTTTCTTGTTCTTCACACGATGGGAGGGGGTGCAGCTAACGGCCATTTTGAGCAAGGAATAAATAGTAAGAGGATAGCTACACACCTAGTAAGACAAATGGTCATTTTACTTGATTCCATAACAATTCCACTCGCCCCCACGCAATTTTCACTCGCCAATTGCGAGGGGGCGAGTGGAACTTTTGAGGCCTGCACTAAAGGGTTAAATAAAGTGTAAATAAAGAGACCAGACTTTCATTTTAAAAATCCTTTCATTGAAATAAAAACAAAACTGATTTTTGACATTTCCTTTATTAAAAAAACAAACAAACAAATTGATCCAACTATGTAATCCAGGGTCAATCACAATGTCAACGATTCGGCAAAATAAATTGTTTTAATTTAATGACAGCCCATTGTCCTCAAATAACTTGAGGATGCTGGTCTGTCATTGAAGGACAAAAACTGGGCGGAGCCAGCTGTGACATCACGGCAGGCTCCGGCAGCTGTTGTCATTTGCAGGGAGAATGGCCGGCTTCGGCAGACCTTTCTCCCTGCTTTGGCTGTGACTACTGCTCAGCCAAGCCGAAGCATATGCGTTCGGCTCGGCTGCCTTCAGCTGCTGTACGAGCTATTGTGAAGCAGCCCTTTGGTTCAGCTGAACTGAAGGGTTCTGGCAGCCGAAGGAT